ATATATTTCTGCTTTTATTTCTGATTATGTCAGATTTTGTCCTCCATATTAAAACTGAGTTATGGTAAGTTTTGCCACAGCTAATAAAACTAAGCAACTTGGGTTTTCTAGCTGCCATGGAACTTATGACAGCCCTCTTGAATCTGAATGCCCCCCTTCCCTCCAGTTAAATTCAGCTCAGGACCCCATATAACCTATGACCGGCCATGGCAGTTTGCATCCCATATAAAAACTGAGTTATGGTAAATTATGCCACAGCTAATAAAACAAAGCAAATTGGGTTTTCTAGCTGCCATATGGAACTTATGACAGCCCTCTTGAATCTGAATGCCCCCCTTCCCTCCAGTTAAATTCAGCTCAGGACCTCATATAACCTATGACAGGCCTTGGCAGTTTGCATCTCAAAAAGAAAGAAAATATCCATATTTACTACAATTTATAATCATCATTATATGTTTCCCTGCGCCCCCCTCCCCTTCACGTCTGTGGTCACGTGACGTGTGAGCTGCTGCGATTCGCCCGAGACCAGAGCAGAGAGAGTTGTAGTAAAGTTTGAGCGGACCGAGGAGTCCCTGCTAAAACCTAAAGAAGATCACTGCTTCGTCTGCACTTTACACCCTCCTTTGTCCTTGAAGAAACGATGGATTCCGTCGCACAGGTAACGGCGCTGACATTAAACACATCAAGAACCCCCAACGGGTGGCTCGTCATAGAAATGGAGAGGTTTTAAGTTTTTGAAGCGAACACGCCTACCTCTGTAGTACTTTAAAAAAAYGTCTCGTTTCTCTCATTTTTTTTCTTCATCAGAAAGTGCTGACCTCGGGATTCAGACTGGACTTTGGACCTTTGAAAGAACCTCTGGCGTTTATCCGTCTGCTAGAATGGGTGAGTTTAGCGTCATGTGGCCTGTCTCTGCTGCTGTCTGAGCCTGTAGGGTTTGTGTTAACAACTACAGCTGCTGGTCTCTCTCTGGGAGCTGAAATGTCTCAAACTGATAAAGCTGTCGGTCTTGTGACCCCCCCTCCCGTCCTCCTCGCATCACAACCACGCCTAGAGACGTCTGCAGAAGCATATTTTATAAAAACTGCAGCTGCACGTTTGACATCCTATCAATAAAATGCAAACAAGCTAACTTGGCATTTCAAAGCAGCTGCAGTTTTCAACTCCTTTGCTAAAACTTCTTGATTTTTTTTATTAATTCTCCTTAAATTATGATCACTTTAGTTAGAACTGCACAGCGTTGAAATTGACTTCCTGTCAAAGTGTTTCACAAGATCTACCAGGAAGGATGTGTGTGTGTGTGTGTTTGATCAGCACTTCTTAACATCCTTGTTTGCCAAACCGTGTGGCCTCATATCTCTCCTCTCCGGTTACAGCTGTTTTCCATATTCGCCTTTGCAACAACTGGGGGTTTCAGCGGCTCGAGCAGCATCAACGTCGTCTGCCAGGGAAGTAAAGGCGAAGAAATACAAGCACATTTCAACTACCCCTTCAGGTAGATTGAAGTAAAAAAACACACACACACACACGTGGTCTTCCATCTCCTCGTAGCAGATCTCTAAGAGTTGTCTGATCATACACAGGTTGATGGACCATCCCTTTAAAGTCCCCAACTGTGTTAACCAAACGTCCACCACTGACTACTTCTTGACTGGAGACTTCTCATCCTCGGCGCAGTTTTATGTGTGCGTCGGAGTGCTGGCGTTCCTCTACAGCACCGCCACGTTAGTCATCTATCTGGGTTATCAGCACCTGTACAGAGAATCCAGTCGTGGTCCTAATCTGGTATGTTGATGTCTGACGTAAAGGCATGGAGTTATAGTCCTTTTGGTCAAACATTAAAAACAACTATACAGTATTGTGAGAAGTAGGGTTGGGCAAAATCGTGTCATGTGCAAAATTAATCATCAGAAAAACTTTAATTGATTTATTTTTTGGCACTTGACCATTAATGCGATTAATGCCACCAGACAGACTGACGGGAGATTTCCCCGGTCAGTCTACTTGGTGCTCCTCTTCACTTCAAATATGATGAACATTAAAAAAAATGTTCTTTACTTTATTTATCATAACTCCAGTTTTACTTGGTCAATCAACACAATTTAAAAATTGATGTATAGCCTGAAGTCTGTACGTTTGACACAATTTGGAACAGATTGTCCTGATGAATCTCAGTAATCCAGGTAAAAAATCAAAAAGAAAAAAATTGTATAGGTCTTCTGGACGGGTTCTTCTCTAATGAAACGTTTCGTCTCTCCTCCAAGAGACTTCTTCAGCCTGATGGCTCGTTCACACCGAGAGCGTTTTGAGCGGCAGGAGCTGCCAGTTTACATGCAAAGTCTATGGC